GCCGGCGTTCTGGCGATTTACTCGGAAGGCTTCAGTAGAAGCTGCTGGGAGTCCCAGCAGCTTCTACTGAAGCCAGTCCCCGACTCCGGGGACTTCCAGCCGGGGCCTTCGGGTGGCAGTATACGCCATGAAGTGGTTTGCGGCCTGCCAGTAAACCCAAAGCAGAAGAAGAAGAAGAAGTGACGTCAGCGGCTCATTTGCGTAATCTTCTCTCAGGGAACTTATTCGGGTGTGAACGCGATCTGTACTTAGTTCCATGGGGGCACTTGGTGCCGACACTAAGTACGGCAAAGTACTTGGTGTGAAAGCGGCTCATGGTATACATTCGAAAAAGCAAATGTCTGACGTAATAAGTCCGATTCCTTTTTTATTAAATCAATTTTCTGAACATAATTTGTAAGTTCCTTTCATGTCAGAATAAATACATGTAACGGGCAAAGGGCTATTCAAGTAAGGGAATAAAATGCTGCTTATTTCCGATCTTCTTTACTGATAGTGTTAGAGCTAAAATTGATTTCTTTACTGTGGTTATATAAATGTAATTGATGGTGATGTTAAATTGCAGCTGGTAATACAAGTTGGTGCCTCTCTTCGTTGCCGCAAGGAAGAGAAAACTGTTTTTAGACCACAGTAAAAATGTTGGGAAGACATATTGAGGATTTCATTAGGTAAACACGAATATTTAAATATTATAACACCAAACTTTTACCAACAAACGTTGACTTTTGGAAATTACAGCAGTCTGGAGTTATGTTTAAATAAAATGAGTTGGAAACAACAGGGATATAATTCTAGAAATAAAACAATGATATTATTAGAGTAGCCTTCTCTGAAAGTGCAATAGTGCAGGAATGTTTAAACAGAATGATTAGACATGCAAACAGAAAGTAAAAGTGGCACAGCACTCTGATTTTAACTCTAAGACACTCTTAGACTTTGAATACAAACGTTATGGATAAAGCTTTAAAGCGTAAAGTATTTTGTCCAATTATGAAATAATATTATTAGGGATTGACTCGTTATTAACAAATGGATGAAGCATGATGGGTTAGATCTGGTTCTTACAATCTGTGTTGAAAAAGACATCCATTTTTGAATATCACACTTAATATAAGTTTAAATAAAAGTGTTGATGAATACAGAAGTGACAAAGTGACGGTGCTCGACAAATCATCGTGGAGGGTAACAACAACTTGACGCTTGGTGTATGAATAATACTATATGGTCTCAGCCAAATATAATAATCACCTTTTCCTCTTCTTCTCTGAGTCGTTTGTCCTGGGCTTGCTTTGGGTTGTCTTGGCTGTGCCTGATTTGGAGATGCTGTCTTCTCTGTGTCGCTTGCTGCGAGAAAAGGATGGTGGGTAAACAGCTGTCTGTCACATAAAGCTAAAATAATCACTCTTCTCTTGAGAGCATTTTTGAATTCATAGAGTACTGACTGTGTGGTGCCGCCATCCTGCTCCTGCTCCTTGCATGGAGATGGTGCTGGTGCTCTGTCGTCCTGTCTGTAGTCCCCTCCCTCCTCCTGCTGACCCCCCCGCTGGCTGCCGTTGCATCGCTCCGTCGGACACCGGGCCTGCAGCTGAGTCGAGGGCGGAGACTCTAATATCGGCTCCTGATCTTCCCTGGACAACTCCCGCCAGCGGTTCTACAAAACGAGCAGACACAAGTGGAAAAGCGTTAATGTTTTTGGCAAAGCACACCACCATAACTTTTTGCCATGGATCAAAAACAGCCTATATTTGGACATTTTGTTTGTAAAATAATCTTGCCAAAAATGTATAAAGCGAGACAAAAAAATGTTGCTGCAAAAGAGAACATTAAGCCAAAGATGGCTTCATACAAATTGCGACTGCAAACAAGTCACGACTGTCAGACATTCAGGTCATTGGCCTGAACTAAATAACTAAAAGGTGTTTCTTGTCCAAGATATTCAGTTTAATATGAAATAAAAACAACAAACAGGCCATAGTCCCACACACTTCTAATGGTTTACAAGTGATGACTTAGAGAGACTATTTCTGTATGAGTCAATATTTGTTAGGAAAACCCTACTCCTCTAACATACCCACACACGGAATAACTGTGGGGTATTTAATAAACAAATATCCATCGCCAGGCCAACTGCCATTATTTGTGTTTTTCTCTACAGCCAAATACAGTAGTGTCCTGGAAACTGAACCATATTACTCATTAAGTACCGAGTGAACTGAGTGAGCAGAGAGAACTGGTCACATGGTGCAGGTACCTGTACAGAGGAATCTCCCTTGATGCACTTGGACCCTTCGAGCACCGCCATGAAGGAGAAGCGCAGCTGGTCCGGGGTCTGGATCAGGCCCATGCGGTGCTTCCTCATGTCCAACAAGGTGCTTTTGATGTCCACTGACGAGGGGTCTTTCCTCTTGTCCATCTGGTCAGGACAGAATGACAGGTTGAACCCCCTGTTCCCTCTCATGCGTGTGTTTAGAGGGAAATGTAAAGCTGACGCACTGTTAAACATGGCCAGTCTGTGTTAGTGAGTGACGTGTAACCGTTTCGGAATAAAATGCTATAAATGACATGTTTTAGTTCCCTGTTTTTCTTTGATCTGGCTTATCTACTTCTACATTACGGCTGTTCAATACATATAGGTTTTTCTATGGTATTGTTATGTAAACTTAAGAGAAAAACACATTGTGAAAGACTACGTAATTGCAAGAGAACAACATAGAATTTCAGTTGGTGTTATAGTCACTAAAAAGTAAATTCATATTAACGTTTCCATCTATCAGAAGCTCTCTCTGGACAGATTATTTGAAATGTTACTTCAACAATTTTAACCAGCCCTCAATTCATGTTTTTATTTCAGTCAAAGGCTTTAAATTATCTAAATTGACTGTCTGGACACTGATATATTTATCCACAGTATAAGTGCTAATCAGACTTAGCATAATGGATTTAATTGGGTCAATGTTGGCTCTCAATGTCTAAATGTAAACTCAAATCATTGTAGCAAAAAACAAATGTTTTGTTTTCTTTAATCAGAATACAGACATAATGATACAACAAAAATGGAGAACTTACGAGGACCACACACGTGTCAACCAATGAAAATGTCCCGGAGCGTCCGATTCCAGCGCTGCAGTGCACCACAGCCGGTCCGTGGTCCCGCCCCAACGCTCCCGACTCCCTCACCTTGAAGAGGAAGTTTAAGAAAGACGCCGGGGAGTCGGGAACACCAAAATCTGGCCACGTGGTGTAGTGAAAGTGGTAGATCTCTCTCTTCTCCCCCGTCTGAGAGAGGAGACAAACAGAGGCTTCATTAGCAGGTAGAAAAGCATATTTCTATGTGCAGTCTGCGAGTGCTGATGTGTAGGCGGTGTGTTTGAGGTGACTTGAGGCCATCCCAGGGTTTGAGAGATAAACTAAGCAAACAAGTCCAACAGTTTCAGTTTCAGTTCATGCGAGGAACCGTGTTCTGAAAACTCCCCACAACTTTTGAATCTACTTCTTGCTCATGCTTTTTTTCCTTACGATCACATTGGCAGTTAACTCTTAGTTGCTGATGTTTTAAAAAACGGTGTTCAGTTTTTAATATAAAACAGGTAAAAAATGTATTGGGAAAAAGTCATAACATTGGGTTTAATTGAAAATCGTATTTTTCAAATGCAATTTGCAGTTTAACTATTGTTGCTTAAGCAAAGGCTGATTACTTTACATACTGGAATTGCTGTGCTGCATTATCTACAGCTCGTTTGCACTTTCTGTACAACCTACAAACTGCAAATAGTTTGGTGTGTGGGAACATACAACTCAGTTGAATCTTTCTGTGAAATCAGATAACAATGGGTGTCAAAGATAACAATTAATGTTACCTGTTAGACGCTTTTATCCAAAGCGACTTACATACACTCAATACTGTGGTCAACGCCCATAGGAGCAGGTTGGGGTGAAGTGTCTTGCCCAGGGACACAGCGGCATGCTGACTGCATTGGGGATTGAACCATTTGGAAAGAATTGGATATATCCTAAAAGATAGACTGGGGGAATTTGAAAGGATGTGGGGTCCAATGGTTTCATTTATAAGGGGGACGGTTGGCTGAGATGCACAAACAATTATTTTTTAATGGCTTGGGTGGCACTGCTCGAGGAGGGAAGGGTGGGGGGGTAGTCTGGGCTCATCTGCACCCTTTAAAGTGCACCTATCATGCTATTGTTAGGCATATATTATGGGTCTCAGATATATACAAATATATCTTGAGATGTGTTTTGCTCAAAATACAAACGGATCATGCATTTTAGACATCCCTCATATCCCTCTACTCCAGCCCTGTTTAGAAATGCGGATTTTGGGTCCTTAGCTTGAAAACAAAAAGGAGGAGGCGGAGCTAATGCCTGATCAGAATTATATCGGAGATAAAGTTAAATTCTGCTGTGATAAAACGCCATCCTGTTCTAAACCACATCAAGGATTATTTCTGAAACAGTATAGATCTCAAATGCTTTTTCTTTTGCGGGTTTACCACAAGGGGAGTTCCTTTTTTTATTTCCTGCTTTTTTACACATACTCTCTCCAGTACAGGTTAGGGTGTTAGCGATGCACACACACATACAAATTGTAGTATGTGCTTATAAACAAAGACCATACTACGTCCAAAACGTCAGGCATTGTTTCTGATGGCAACTTTCTGTGGGTCCACCATCCAAAATGACGTAATATCAAATCTGTATCCGCTCGTTTTACCCCCGTTTTTTAAAAGATGTGGGTACGGAGGGAAAAGGGTCCTGACGCTGCGTGAGTTCCCCGACACACCGGGGACACAAAAAGTGCATTTTTCATGATAGGTCCGTGAATTTTAACTAGTGTTGTCAGCCTTGGTATATCAGAGCTTTTGAAGATCAAATCATCCATCTTTGCTCACTACATCTTAGCCTCTCTTACTCTTAGGTGTGCATTAAGTACAGGTTATACTTTTTAAAATACAAAAATGGAAATAGTATCTTCTCATGGTATCAGTCTTGAGTAGCAGGTAATGGTCGGTTCAAAGGAATCCAGATGGTGTTCAGTTTGAAAAAGCCTGGGACAGCAGGTCCTTGCAAAGCGTCTTGGTGTGACACCCTCAAACCATTTCACTTCTCCTTCACAGCTATAAAGTGGAACGCCCCCTGATAATAAAGTAAAAACTTTGACCTACACTGATATTCTGCAGCTCCAACACTCGGGTGGTGTAGTAGGACTTGATGTCCTCCGACAGCAGCGTGACCAGGAAGCGTGTGTCTCTGAAGGCCATCTCCCTCTCCTCCGCTGTGGGCCAGTACTGAGCGCACTTCTCCTGTCGGGGGAGAAAGGAGACATGTGGTCAGAGAGACTAAATAAAGTCATATCTGACAATGAAGTATGCCATGAAGCAGATGCTGAGGGGCCTTGAGGCAAAGCAGCTGATGACTAACAGGAGGACAGTTTAGTCCTAGCTTTGGAAGGGGAAATATCCCTTAGAAAAACATCCGCTTCCTCTTCTCTCTCTCCACAGATACCTGGTCACACTCACATATCATACATGTGACACCTACATAACATTTCACACATGCACAGAATCCTACACAACTACACAGCCTTAATATGTTGCATAAAGTGTTTCACAGCCTTGTTATCTTGTATTTTGCAACACCTCTGTCTAATTTTAGTCCCATTTTGTGTTTTGCCACACTGCACTAATCAAAATGAATGAAGCCAGTTAGAACACGCTTCAGTCAAGATTATATCTCCTTGCATTCTGCATGTATTTGAACTGTGACTTTTTCTCATGTTTTATTTTAAGATATTTATTTCTTAAGTCTTTTAATAACTAAAGAAAGGATCAGGAATGCATTTTAAAGGGACAGGTTCTATCCTTTAATATGAAGATATACACAACTATTAAAAAGTTATTATTTGACATCTCTTCTCTTTTTAGAGATTGTTTAACAGTTGTTTTTAGAGTTGTTTGCTTTGTAAAGCAAAATAAGTATAAAATGTGCTATAAAAAACAAGTTTATTACTATCATTATTATTTATGTGTTGTGTTTATTATAATAAACCAGTCATGGAAACAATGCTCGCACGAAGTTACAAGGAACCAGGGATACATTCCAGTACAGTTTGTGATCTTGTGGTGCTCTCGATGTTTTCCAGGGAACAGCAAAGCCGTCAGTAAAGTTGTAAAATACTGGTCATGCATTCTCATGCTATATTATCGACAGCAAAGATCTCATTATACAGCATGTTCTTAGTAAGCAGACAATGTGCAGAAGTGTTGAGGATAAGTGGATTATGTAACCCCCCCCCTCTCTGCTGGCCTGCACGAACATCTTTGTGAGTGAGGTTAATAATATCTTTGGACTAGGTACTCTTTATCTGCTATTTCCAAGAAAACAGTCGGGGGGTGAATCTCATGACCCAGCGAGATCCGCTCCAGCTGCTGTACTGAGAAAGAGAAAGCTGCTCGCGGTGAGAGAGAGTGTGTGTGTGTGTGTGTGTGTGTGTGTGTGTGTGTGTGTGTGTGTGTGTGTGTGTGTGTGTGTGTGTGTGTGTGTGTGTGTGTGTGTTTAATCGGCACATCACAGGATCACAGGATTTAGTTGAGAGGTTGGGCTGCATCCCAGTTCCTCACATACATCTGTGAACACACTGTCAAAACACTGAATTCCTCTTATCCTGCCGACAGGAGAGAGAAGCTTCACAGTGGACCTTTAACTGAAATCAAGGCAAAGTCCACACATACAGGTCTTCTTAAGCCTTTGCCCGTGCAAAAACATCCTTTTAAGCCTCTGAAACCTTTAGTAAAACTCCCTTTGGGGATGACGAGTTCCCTGTTATCTAGCTTCGCAAATGAAGCAACGTTTTGTACAATGTCAGACCGAAACATAACTCCCGCTAACCTCGCTAACATGGGACGTTTACATTTTTTCACATAAATGCAGTTAATCTTCTACTTTAACCCTGTTTTCCCAAAATATGTGTACATGAGGAATACGCCCCTGATTAATCAAAAACGATTTTATGTGAGAAGGCTGCACACTTTTAACAAAGTGTGTGATGCTGTGGATAAGTGTGTGTGTGTGTGTGTGTGTGTGTGTGTGTGTGTGTGTGTGTGTGTGTGTGTGTGTGTGTGTGTGTGTGTGTGTGTTGCACCAGACCAATAACAGATGTCAACTGACCTGACAATAGGATGTTCTTTTATTATTATATCAGTGTTTCCCCTACCATTGTCTTGGCGGGGCGCTGCGCCCTGCCAACGGAGCCCCGCGCCCTGCCTGAGATTCAAGTTTTTTATTTTTTTTATTTTTATTTTTTATTTTATTATTTAAAAAAATATATATATATATGTTGCACCAAATTGCAACTGAAACTCAAATTAAACATGTGCTCTTTTATTAAATAAACTAAACGCCTATGTTATTTATCCAATTTGCATGTTTCAGTTTCCACTGCCTTGCGTGTGCACATTCTCCCTCCGCTCTGTTTCTGAAGGGCGGGGCTCCGGCATTTAGCGGCAGTGACTCGACAAATTGCCACTTAAAATGTATCTTCAGCAATGTATGACAAGCAGACTGCTTGTTTAATGTTAGACTCACACCAATAGCTCAATATGATCATAACACGATTTCTTTCATATCATAGATCAGATGAGAT